ACCGCCTATTTTTATTTTCCCCTATTTTTTCGTTTTTGCTTTGGGGGGCTTTTTTTTTTTTTTTTTCCCCCAACAACTGTTGTTTTTTTATTTTTTTTTGGTTTTTTTTTTTTTTTTTTTTTTTTTTTTTTTTTTTTTTTTCACCAGGCTTAGCACGTAATGATTCAATTAGAGCTGACAGGCCCTTAAGTTATACAGATAGTTAGAAGCTATTTATATTAGGCGTTTCCGGTGTCAGAGTTGCAACGGCTATAGGTTTGGATTAGAAATGGAATTTAGGCCAGGTGACTCGCCTGTCGAATCGAAATACTCAACCATGTCCGTCTAGTCTGTTGGTTACTACCTAGGTAGGTACCTACGACGTGCGAAAATTCGGTACGTTCAATTGTGTCATACCAGATCCATTATGAATTACATAGCTATGTACCTAGATACCCGAATCTAAGCGTTCATGGTCAGTTTATTAACAATCCTGACAATACTTGTTTACAAATCTGCGAACTGTCAATACTGCCTTTTGCAAGTTTGCTGGAGTACTCACCCATCCCATACCGACGGTCCGGGAATCGTATAATTCTGCGGCGCGTTAGATTAGGCACAGAAAAGGGTGTGGAAGATTCTTACCGTTTGCGCCTTTATTTCATCCGAGTAGATGTCAATCCTGATCGACGGATCTGATACTGTTAGTCACTCTCGCTGATACGGGGCGACACGTACCATCTTCCTTATACGTCCCAGGGAACTTGGCGAAATACTCGGGTGACGGTACTGCCGTCCCCGTTCCGGTGATGTTCAGATGCGCGCACTCGGGATAGAACTGTGGCTTATTCTCTATATGGATGCTCAGGATCTCATGCCTGACAATATAGAGTCCTGGCTTGATGGTGGCCGGGATCGTAACGGACCACAAGTCTGGTGATCCATCCCAGTTCTGGAACTGCTTCTGATACCATATACCCTCTACGATGTTGCCTTCCACCAAGCCCGCCTCCCAGATCTTAAAGAAGTTTAACTGGTTCACATCGACGTCCTCGCAAGACTCCCCGCAGTCGGCAAGCCAAACCGACATGGGCCCATACGGATGAAGCCAATACCAATAAACCGCCGTAATGTTATCGCCAGCTGCGACGGGAATATATGACGGCGGCGCCGTGGCTGGAGTGTTGCAGGCCAGGCCAGTGTCGTTTACGAAGAATATCGGGTCGATGCTCGCCCATATCCTCTGGACCATCCAAGGCTTGCCCTGCTGGTCTTCCAACGGCTCGTCTGGACTATATCTGTAACTCGAGTTAACGTCGGCATCGGATATCAGAAATTCAAAAATTTACCCCCTGTACCAAGTGTCGCCAACAGTATAATTTGCAAGGCCGCCGTGAGCAGCGACGGAGCTAGCGAGCAGCGCTAGCGCTGCTAAAAGAATCTGGCTGGCCATAGTGTGGTTTGCTTTAACGGTGAAGGTCCGACGATGCTGGCAGCCGAGGCGGCATCACTAAGGAAGGAAGTTAAGGAGGCTACCACAACTACCGGTTGCCAAGAACCTGGGGAAGCTCGCAGTTTCTACTTGAAGTATTTGAACCATCTTGGAAGTAAGGCTAGATTGTGCAGACAAGTTCGGCCATCCTCGAGAGCACGGTGGCGCGATGCTTTAACCACGTGCGGTAATTCGGAGCGTCTAATAAGCAGTTGGATGCAACCTCGTCTCCGGCTATTTCAAAAGCTATCATCTTCGTGTCTTTGGGGTTTACAGGTTCTAAGAATAGTAACCTTCTAATTAGCCACGTTTAAATACTCTAAAAGCTTTTAAAGCTCTGTCTTACGAACCCACGCCGGAGATGAGGAACTCTCATAAAGAACCGTCAGAGGAGATACATAGACGCGTCTATGTATGAATACGTCCAGACTTTGAGTTGCCCCTTTACCCAGTCTGCTCTTACACTGATAAAAATGTACAAGGTTGAAATTTGTATAACTAATTCTTTAACTCAAAGCTTCAAACTTGAGTTCCTCCCAATAAATTTTTGTGGGTAGCATATCGAAGTATTAATACTACAAACGTGTTTTCTTGGGTATATTGATATTTATCACTCGATGCTACCCTGCGCAAAGCTCCTGCGCGTCCCCAACACCACCAACGATATTAGCCATATTACCCGATCTCCCCACGTTTGGAGATTGTGGAGTATCCTATGCTAAACGCTCACCCATCATCATCCCCAAAGTGCCAAGCGGATCTCGGTGCAAGGGGCCAGTCCATCTCGCCACGCGCGACGCAGTGGTTAAACGCGCCATTCTTGTCGAACCGCCAGATCAAAAAGCCTTTATTGCGTCGTTCAGAGTGGGACGTCTCGGCTTGGCTAGAGCCGCCCAACCACTATCGACTCGGAAATGAGAGACACCAAGCCACCCCCAGTTCAGGCATTCAGAGATCAGCCGGAAAGCGACGATGCGACGAGACGCAAATCGACCCGTGACAAAAGTCAAGCCTAGAGACGTATAAGAATAAGAATCGCCTCAATGCCCTCAACCGCCCTTTACTAACCAGCGAAGCACACTATCCCACATCATCCCAGATTCCCAGAAACAGCGCCCAAGATGATGCGCCGTTTGACTTCCGCCCTCCTTCTGGGCTCCACGGCTACCGCCCTGCCGTTCGCCGATATCTACCAGCGCCAGAACACCAGCGACTGCTCCGTAAAGGACACCTACCCGGTTGTGAACTTTGCCAAGCTGCCCGACCCCTTTACTTTTGAGGACGGAACGAAAGTCGCTAGCCAGGCCGACTGGACATGTCGTCAACAAGAGATTAGCAAGCTTCTACAGCAGTACGAACTAGGCGCCTACCCCCCACCTCCCGACAAGGTTGAGGCTTCTCTTTCCGGGACCACCATGTCCGTCAAGGTTACCGTCGGCTCCAAGTCGGTCACCATTAGCACCTCCATCAAGAAGCCTAGCACCTCTCCCGGCCCCGCCATCATCACCATCGGCGGTTCATCGCTGCCCATTCCCGGCACCGTGGGCACCGTCGGGTTTAACAATGACCAATTCGCCTCCCAGGCTTCCGGCCAGTCCCGCGGCCAGGGTGCTTTCTACACTCTCTTCGGAAACACCCACTCTGCCGGTGCTCTTACCGCGTGGGCTTGGGGTGTCGACCGTGTCATTGATGGCCTCGAGCAGCTCGGCGCCGACAAGACTGGTATCGACCCCAAGAGGCTAGGAACTACGGGCTGCTCCCGTAACGGAAAGGGTGCTTTCATCGTCGGCGCCCTCGCCAACCGTATCGCTCTTACCCTCCCGCAAGAATCCGGTTCCGGTGGCGCTGCCTGCTGGCGTATCTCCGACGACGAGCACAACAAGGGCAAGAACATCCAGACTGCAGGCGAGATCGTCGGAGAGAACGTTTGGTTCAGCCAGAACCTAAACCAATACACTTCCAAGACTAGCACCATGCCCGAGGATCACCACTTCCTTGCCGCCCTCGTCGCTCCTCGCGGTCTCCTCGCCTTCGAGAACGACATCGACTGGCTCGGCCCCGTCAGCACGACTGGCTGCATGAAGGCGGGACGTCTCATCTACAAGGGTCTTGGCGTCCCCACCAACATGGGTTTCTCTCTCGTCGGCGGCCACAGCCACTGCATGTTCCCATCATCGCAGCAGGCCGAGCTTACCGCCTACATCAACTACTTTTTGCTCGCCGGTACCACGGCTCCCCCCGAGGTGGAGAAGAGCAGCGCCAGCGTCCAGGTCACCGACTGGGCCCCGTGGACTGTTCCCACTCTGGCTTAAGCGGGTAACCGAGTAAACGGTAGCGGAATATTTTGTATATAGCATACCGGGGCAGGAAAATGCCGAACTGTATAGGTTTGCTTTTGGCTATCTAGTCGTACGTACGCGAACGGTAATCAAAGCCGCCTGTCAAATTCCAGAATATCTCCTAATTACATGTAATTTGCGCTTAGCCACGTAGCCACTCCTTTACCGTCGCCGCTAAATCTTCTTCTTGTAACCCGAGTAAGCCAATCGCATTTTTGTCTCCTAAAACGGCGCGGCCAACGCCGTCCGCGTAGATGTGGCTCCGCAAGAAGTTGGAGAATGCGCTGTAATCCCCCTTGCTTAACTTTTCCAGTCCGATCTTCTCCAGCTCCGCGGTGCTGACATGCTCTACCTTCCACTTCTCGCCCGTCTCCTCTTCCACGATCTTTAGGATCTGGTTTTGGGACGGATTGAACGACGCGATCGTGAGATACTGGTTAGCTGTCTTCTCCGGCTGCGACAATATAGCCGCGATAGCCTTGCCGATAAACGCCAAATTCGATGCCTGGACTGGCTCGTCTCCGGAGTCGTGGATGGTCGCAGTCTTCGTATCCTTATTAAACCCTACGGTTCCGTATTTAAGCCCCTATTGTAGCTCGTCAACGCTGATGATTCTTTTGAGAACGACCTTTATGCGTACCCAATCGAAGAAGATTCCGTTGGAGACGCCGGTCCACGTAAACCACGGATTCTCCTGAGACTTGCTAATGATATAATCGAGAGCTTGGACCTTGCCCTGGAGAATTTTTCCGATCGGCGTACCTTCTACGGTTCTCGTATTGATGCCGAACTCGGATGGGATAAACCGTTTCACCTTGGCGGCGATCGCGGCGTCTACCAGCGGGACCTGACTGCCGATAGCCACCGTCGCGATCGTGGATACGACCGCATCTTGCCCTTGAAGGGCGGCGGTTAGCGACTCGACAGACTGATAATTAACCTTTTTAGTGGCTACCTCGGCCGGGAATGTGGCTGTCGATTCCTCACGTGCGAACGCGGTAACCTTGAAGCCAGCTTTAAGCAGCTCTTGAAGGACCTCCTTTCCCAAATTCCCCGAAGCCTAAGAAGACATTAGTAGGATCACAAGATCGCGAGCTCGTTAAAATCTACTCACCCCAACTATAACCACGTTCTTGATAGAGTCCGCCATGATTTGCGTAAATAATTTGCTGCGAGTTTAATTCGGGTCTCAGCAGATTGAGGGGGTTTACGTTTAACAAGACAGGTTCATTGCCGGACCTTGGAGACTATTTATGCCCTTAACCACTAGCCAAGCGGGGGACTGTCATACGTGATCTCAATTATCTAGGCGTGCTCGGAGAACTCGAGCCAAGTCTCGAACTCCCGAACGATCGATCAGGGTGGTGCGTTAGCAGAGACAAGAATGCCGCATATAATTGGACAGAGGTGAGCTCATAAGAGGTAGTAGATTCGTAATCCATGCACCACGAGCCGAGAGATGTATTAGCCGTACGTCGCGTTGTTCATAACCAAACCGAATTACTCAGAAAATTCGATAGTAGATTCATCATGGTCTGATTAATAATGTTGAACATAACCGCTCTGCCAAGAATCAGCGGAATCGGTAATAGCACCATTACCTTATGTTGCTTTTTCCTAAACCCTGGCGTCGTGGTCATTACCCGATTTAACATCATACTAGCCCCCGCCTCTAGTTGGAATCTTCTACTTTGCGACTTCTATTTTTAAGCGCGATGAAACAAAAGATAGCCCTTGTACACCTCCTTGCACGACCATTAAACGACGAGATAGCGCCGTTCATGTCACAGAGAATACTCCGTCTTGAATCGTTGACGACCAAGTTCTCGTCTTAAAACTGTTCAACTACTCGTATTGCTTAAGCTAATAATACAATAATGGTTTCACACCGGGCTGCGCCTCTCGTTATTAATCTGCAAAAGATATGCAAAATTGCGTCACCGTCGCGACCAAAACTGTTCTCCCGTAGATCCAGACTTTGATTCGGCACTGTAACTCAAATAATCTCCCCATCAACTTCACATAGAACGGTCACGACGATGCCGACTTGTCCCTATCTTGATCGGCTCTTCCGAAAGTGGGGACCCGGAGGTAACATCCACCTCGGCTCCGAACTAACTAAAACTAATACACGATATCGGCAGTGATCCACTAAAAATAGTAAAGAAAATTGAAAATAATATAGTAACATGACGAAATAATTTAGAATCCTGGTTTGAGGTCATTTGAGATGAGTAATATCTTATTACACGCGGGGAACGTTTTCGTCTGGGAGCTCCAGCCTGTCCGGACGAGCACAACTCGTAATTTGGGTTGTGAATACGTCTGATCCCAACGGAGCAGTCAGCATGCCGCTCATTCCGGCTCTGGTATCGGCGTTTACCAGATCGTCACTACCATTTGTCGTATATACTCCTCGGCGTCGACGATCACCGAGTCTTCCAAACGTAACAAGGCTGCGGGGGTTAAAGCGAACGCCAGACGACCTTTGGGACCCTGTGAGCTTGGAAATCAGGGGTGCGACATAGGTTTTGAAGACGGGCCCCAGAGTTGGGATGCAAGCAATAACAATACAAATCCACAGCTCTAGTGTTGTTGTGAGGGCAAGAGTTGGCATCTGGTAAACGTAATCGCCCCCACCTTTTGTGACAAGATCGTATATTCTCCAAATCATTATGCCAACGGTTCTGCCTCATCGTTAGTGAATTCGTGGTGCAATTACGGGTTTGGATAATTACATTAACCCGAGACTAAACACCAGACTGATCACGATCTTGTTTCGTAAGCTCATCTTGAGGTTCCATAAGAAAGGCATAGGTAGGATCACAATGAGGATATCTATTGCGAGATTGGTACTGACTGAGCCTACCTGGCCGATATTCAGGTCACGACAGTGACCATCAGTCCTCGGGTTCCATAACTGCGAGATGTCCGGCGAACATGTTGTAAGAAACACTACGAGGAAGGAAACGCAGTAGGCAATAGAGAGAACCATCATCGCGTAGCACAATATTGTAAACGCCTTAGTAGGGAAGATACGAGCATAGAGGAACAGAACCGACAGTTTGAAAGCAGCGGTCCCTAATGTCCAAGTGACGTAAGCTGCCGGGATTGCTTTGAGAGTGATTTGAAGCTCTATAGTTGTTAATTCGGTTATGTAATGGCCCATACCGCCGAAAAAGATAGCCCAGGTCAACACGGCCTCCAAAGCCAGCGTATTGAGCTAAACGATTGTCAGATTAACCATGGGCAAGCCACTGTTAAAATATCGCAATGGTTTACTTACAAAAGACAGAACGATGAAATAATCATCTGGATAGATACGGCACCGGATTATGTGAGCGGCCCAGAAACGGAGAAATATAAAGAAAATGTCGAAAATAGTAAATATTACAGTACAGACGAAAAGGATGATGCCTCCCTGAGTTATGGACGCCATTATCGAGCAATACCAGGAACACGCAAGTTATAAAGTAAGAGAGCAGTGGTGACTCGTGACGCAAAGGTCGTGGAACTCATGTCTTAGACGTCCATCTAGGTAGCCAATAGGAAACAAGAGTACAAGAATTCTTTGCCGACCAGTATGTTTCTAGGGATGGACGAAAAGGGTAGAACAAAGAGGTAATCATTACTCTCCCTCGGAATTTCATAACTCTTAGAGTCGTATAAACAAATCATATGCTACGGCCAAGAAAGTAATCATTATGGCTGGGAAGGTTAAATTGAACGCGAATCACACTCATTTAGTTATTTGGGCATCTATTGCCATCGTCTTGGGGGCGATATGGTCTGCGACGTCACGATCATCACCAAATCTTTCGAGCCAACCTCGGTGCCGTTGCTTTCCTGGAGACCCATGCTGGCCGTCCTTTTCTGAGTGGGAGTCGTTCAATGATACAGTTGGTGGTAGACTCATAGCTACCGTCCCGATTGCCAGTTCATGCCATGATAGCTTCCCCGCAGTTGAATATGACGCCGAGAAGTGCGAGGAGATTCAGGCGAACTGAGCGCGTCCCGAACTTCACGACCACACTACACATTCACCAATGGCTGGATTCTTTGCAAATATGAGTTGCGACCCGTTTACGCCCAGAAATGCTCAATGTATCGTGGGTAGCTATGTGGCATACGTTGTCAACGCTTCTGGCGCCCTCGAATATCGCGAGACTTTAAACTTTGCTAAGAAACACAACATCCGCCTAGTCATCCGGAACACGGGCCACGATTATATGGGAAAGTCAACAGGCGCCGGCGCGCTGGCGATATGGACACATAACATTAAATACAAATCCATCATCGACTACACTTCCCTAACCTACACCGGGAAGGCGATGAAAATCGGGGCGGGCGTATCAACCTCCGAGGCTCAATCGATGGCAAATTCGAATGATCTTGTCATCGTACAAGGTGATTGCCCAACCGTGGGTATTGCGGGTGGCTATACACAGGGAGGTGGAAGCGGCCCATTGGCGTCCAAGTTCGGGCTTGCAGCTGACCAAGTTTTAGAATGGGAGGTAGTAACAGGGAACGGAGACTTTTTAACGGCTACGCCTAATAATAATCCCGAGTTGTATTGGGCTCTTGCTGGCGGTGGCGGCGGCACGTATGGTGTCGTTTTATCAATGACGGTCAAACTTCATCCGAATATGCCAACGGCTGGCAGTGCTCTTTTTTTCACCGAGCCGACAGAAGCGTACTGGGACATCGTTCAAGCCTTTTTGCTCAACCTACCGGATGTATTGGAGGCCGGCGGTACTATTTACTGGCAGGTTCTGCCAGGAAACATATTTCGGATGCCGCAATCGTATTTGCCGAACGGCACTGCTCAGGATCTTGAGCAACTGCTGCAGCCTACACTCAAACTACTTGACCAGAGCGGTATCTCGTACGGTAGTACACACCCAAAGGAATCGAAATATAGTTTCAATTTTGCTAATTTGAGACTAATAGCCTTTTCCTCTCGGGATTTCCCAAACTTCCAAGATGCCTTTTACGAGATGGTCCCTGAGACGAACGTCACGGAAATAAACCTCGGTGGTCGTCTCATTCCTCGTTATCTCTTAGCATCAGAAATTTCTGCTGCTTCTCTGACAAGTGCCATCAAGTCGATAATCAATAATGGCGGTATCTTGGCCGGTGTTTCAATGGATGTCAGCCGTCCCCCAAGCTCTTCCAATGCCGTCCATCCAGGTTGGCGGGAATCAGCATTCCTAGCGTTCTTAGGCACGTACGCATATTCAAATGTCGCCTGATATTGGAATTGGGGTTTCACTAAAACATTACTACTAGAATATACAATCGATACAACATGACATCGAATGTGGTCAATCAACGCCTAGTCACCAATACTCTTCTTCCCATTTTAGAAGAGATCACACCGGGTGGTGCTGCATACTTGAACGAGGCGGACATCAACCAGCCAAACTGGCATAATGTGTTTTACGGCGCAAATTACCCTAAGCTAATATCTATCAAGAAGATGTTTGACCCGGATGACATTTTCTGGGGTCCAACGGCAGTAGGAAGCGAAAGATGGGAGGTTACCGAACATGGACGCCTTTGTATGGTTAGTTAATGCTTTGAGTTTACGAAAGGTTATTATGCCGAACTTTTTTTTAATAAAAACGAATTGTTGTTACACAATTAATACGGATTAAATAAGCGATGTATAAGGTTTAATTAATGATATTTTTAATAATTTAATTAATTAAGGTAAAATCGTAAAAATATATATTTATTAATAAATACGTATATATGATAAAAATAATAAATAAAATAATATTTTTATATATTTATAATTATAAATATATTTTTTTTAATATCGGTAATAAAATACTTTATTATTAATAAAATACATATATATTATCGTTATATAATTATTATTTACTTTATTTTCTTTTTATAATTAATTAATTATAAAATTAATTATATAATAAAATTTTAAACTTATATTAATATATGTTTATATTAATTTAAAATAAAAATTATTTTATAAATTAAATTACGTTAATATATATTATACCATTTTATTTTTAATATAATTAATATTTTTTAATTATTATTTTTTATTTAAATTAATATTAATAATTAATTATAATAATATACTTTTATAATAATTTAATTATTTTTTATTAATATTTATATAATTTTATTTAATAAAATTATAATTATTATAAAATTATTAAATATTATTAATTATTAAAATATAAAGAATAATTAATTATGTAATTTAATTACATGTTATCACGTACGTAATGAACAAGACTTAGACGTCTTGACCTTGGATCAAGCCCTATTAGACCTGATATCAAGGACTTTTTAGATGATGAAAATGATGAAAGAAAGGAATAACTTGTATTAAAAGTGGATGATATTATATAAAATGGATATGTGCGATTATAAATAGTACTTATATTAAGAATATAATCATATAATTAGGGTTAAGGTTATCTGATATATTAGTACCAGTTTATAACTTCCTTTTGAATTTTATCGAGGTTACGAAATTAAATTCGACCTACGAAATAGGGGTTGGGACCTGAAAAAAAAAGGAAATAAAATAATATAAGTGGGGATCGAATCCTAAGCCTTAAAAAAAAAATTTCGTATTGCCTGGGTTATTAAAGTTATTAAAGCTTTTGATTATTAACCTTGTGGTATAGCCTTCTTAATATCCTGGGTATTATTAGGTTTTGAATTGTATTTTAAATGAATTTATATACTGTATAATTTAATTAATTTAACTAGGATTTACTAATTAAATATTTTGTATTATTAAATTATATCTTTTAACTATATAAAATTGTATAATAACGGGTCCGATTGTAATATTTGTTGTTAAATTAAATATATATAAGGATTATGGTATAAAGATTATATAAAAGGATTGTTGTATGGCTTTACTTCCTTTACAATAGATTTGGTTAATCTTATTCCCTTTTTTATCCCGGTATTGTATAACTTTTGTAAATAACTTTTGTAATTAAGCTATTTGCCTTTTTTGATATTTTAATATTGATTTGAATAAGCCTTGATATTGATTAAGCTTTTGCCTTCCTTATAATAAACCTAGTGATTTATTGACTGATTGGCTGGCTTAGCCTTTACCTCCTTTATTACTGATTTCTTATAATTGATCGTTTTGTATATTAGGTATAATATAACTTAAAAAGCATTATATATTATCCTTAAATAATTTAAAATATAATTTTAAACGTGGTAATTACTAGTATTTTTACCAACCTTATCCTTATAATCCTTTTACGCATTTAATAAAGTTACCTTTTATTTCTTAGTATTTAACTAATTGAGATACGTTATAGCCCTTATATATCTTAAAACTAATAACTAAATCTTAATATAATAATACTTTTTAAATCGTATTATATTTTATATATTTCGACTTAAAGTATAAAAATATTAGTATCTCGGAAATCGTATTAATTTAATTAATAAGTAATGTAATTGTTAAGGTTATTAATAAGGTTATAAATAAAGCTTTCGATGAGGTTATATCGTATTATATATATTAATTAATATATTAAGATATAATTAAATTAACTAATAGGTAAAATATCTTTAAATTGGCTAATATGATTAATATAAAGCTTAAATTATTTAATCAAATTATTTAATTTATATTTAGGCTATTAACTAAAAATATCGATAAAATTATTATAAATCTGGTTATTAACTAATATATTGTGGGCCTTGTAAACTATAGGATTGTAAACCTTATTAATTGTAAGAAGCCACCCAATCAAGCCACGATAAGGTATTTTTAACGATAATAGTTTTTTTAAAATTGGTATTACGGGTTTAAATTGTTAAGAATTGCCATTAAATAAGACTTAGATGTTTTAACCTTAGATCAAACCCTATTAGACCTGATATCAAGGATTTTTTAGATAATGAAAATGATGAAAGAAAGGAATGACTTATATTAAAAGTAGATGATACTATATAAAATGGGTGTGTACAACCATAAATGGTACTTATACTAAGAATATGATCACATGATCAGGGTCAAGGTCACCTGATACACCAGCACCAGTTCAGTAAGGTTAAATTTAAAAAGGTTTACCTTTTAAATTAACTTATATATATATAACTTAATAAAAAAGCAATAATAAATCGTAATAGCTTTATTTTAATATTATATATTCCTTTTTTTTTATTATACGCTTATTAATGTACATTTAATTCTTATTTAATTATTATTTATACTTAATCTTTTTTACATTAATTAATAGTTAAAAGATTATAAATTAATAAAAAAAAAGTAAAAATAACACCAAGTCTTTTACGTTTTTAAAAAAAACGAAAAAAACGTATATTATATAACTTTAATAAAAAGAGATAATAAACCTTTACTTAAATATTATATTATTTTAAAATCTCGGGATTTTTAATTAAATTAAAAGATCTGCGTTTATTACGTAATTATACAACTTTATTATATTTATTAAAATGGTTTTAATATAAAATAAATACGTTAATAATAATACTTTAAGTAAAAACTTTATAATATTTAATAAAACCAAATGTTGGGATAACGGTCACGTGACCTCGTCACATGACCAGGGTTATGCCCACACACACCGCCCACGCACAGCCCACGCATTTGTACAATAGATATCTTTCCCCACTCGGGGGAACCCCTTTTCTCTTACTTTAAAACAACCAATCAAAACACGATCGTTATTTGCATTCCCTTTCATATTATTACGTAATACATAGTCAATCCAACACCGAAGTTATAATATAATAAATCAATATTTATTATGTTAAAATCATTATAATGTTTAAAGATATTATATATAATAATAAATTATAAAAAACTTTTATATTAAAATTTAAAAGATAAAAAATAAAATATTTTTAAAAGGTTAATTATACGTTTTAAAGGTTTATAATAAATCATTTATTATATTATAAAATTTATTATAATTAAATTAAATTTATTTTTAAAATATTAAAGATAATAATTAACGTAAATAAATTCTTAATATTTTTAATAAATAAATAAATATATTTTTTAAAATATTATTTCCATAATTTTATTTTAATAATTAAATTTTTTTATGTTAATAAATTATATAAAATTATATTATAAAAGCTTTAAATATAAGTAATATAACTTAATTTATTAATAATAATAATTCCGATATTATAAAAAACATTAATTTTAATATTATAAAAAATAATCTCGAAATTAATTTTATAAATATAATTAATATTATTTATAATATTAAAATTAATTTTATAAAAAACATTAATTCCGATATTATTAATAATATTAAAGTTAATATTATAAAAGGCATAATTAATCTTATAAATATAGTTAACTTTATAAATAATCCCCGATAAACTTATTATATATAAACGATTAATGAGATTATTTTAAAGCGTTATAAATTATGTTAAAATATATAACGATAAGTATAATAAAGATAAAAAGTATAACTTAAACGATGGCATATTAAATAAAAAAATTAATATTATAAAAGATTTTTATTATAAGGTTAAAATTGGTTAAAAATAATTTTAAATTAATTAAAATAACTTTGTCTTTAATTTAACAATATTAATTTTAATAATTTTAATAACTTTATTTTTAAGCTTAATAAAATCAATTAATATAACTTTATCCCCAACTTGATAATTTAATTATCTTTACCCCGATATTATAATATTTAATTATTTTAATTTACTTAAGTTTTTATAATGTTATTAATTACGATACCATGATATCCCGATAGTTTTAATTAATTTTAACCAGTTTTAACCAGCTTTAACCTTAGTTTTAACCTTGGTTTTATAATGAAATATAATAAATTTAAAGATATTATAAAGTTAAATTTAAAGTTAAATTTAAAAATATTATAGTTTTAATTTAAATCATTACGTTATATAAAAAAAAAAAGAAAAAAAAATTTATTAATATTAAAATATAAAAAATAATTAATTATATAATTTAATTACGTATTACCATATATGTAAAGTTAAGCTTAAAAAGGTTTACTTTTTAAGTTAACTTATACATATACAACTTAATAAAAAAGTAATAATAAATTATAATAACTTTATTTTAATACCGTATATTTTTATTAAATTAATCAACCATGTTAAATGACTTGAAAATCTTTAATCTTATGTAAAATAACGGTATAATATACGTTTCCACGATTTTACTTTAATTAATAAAATAATTAATAATATAATAAATTAAATTTTATATAACGTTTATTTAATACGTATTAATTATATAATAATTAAAAGTTTTATATATTTAAATTATATAAATTTTAAAAATAAAATCTTAATTAATATTATATAATATAATATATACGCGTTAAAAATAAATTTTAAATAAATTATTATTTATTTATTTATTTTATTATAAATTTTATTATATTATTATTAAACAAAACTTAAACGTCTTAACCTTAGATCAAGCTTTATTAAACTTAATATCAAGGACTTTTAAATGGTGGTGATAAAGGAAAGGAATGACTTGTATTAAAAGTGGATGATATTATGTAAAATGGGTGTGTGCAACCATAAATGATACTTATACTAAGAATATAATCACATGATCAAGGTTAAGGTCATTTGATACACCAGCACCAATTTATTATTAAGTTTTAAACTTAAACATTTTAAC